AAAAGGGGCAAAAAAGGGGAAAAAAGGGGGGAAAAAGGGGGGGAGAGGCCAAAAAAGGGGGGGAAGAGAAAAAAAAAGGGGGAAAAAAGGGGGGGGGGGGTGAGGAGAAAAAAAAGGAGGGAAAAAAAGAGGAAAAAAGAGAGGGGAAAAAAGAAAAAAAGGGAAAAAAAAGAGGGGGAAAAAAGCCTGTCACGCAGGTTTCAGACCTGCAGCATCCCATCAGTGGTTAAAGAATAACGATGTTATTCTTCGGGAGCTGAAGTGGGGCCGAGTGAATGGGTTTCAAGCGACCCGGCCACGTGTGTCCGCAAGCCAAGGGAGCAGCCTGCGGTGGTGGCCACGGACGGCCATGAACACACCAGGCTTTGCAGCCTGCGCTGCATCCTCAACCCGCATCCTGATCTCTCATTGGGGGCAGCTCCGGGGTGCTCTCCCCTCAGCATTTTGGGAGGGGACAGGGATCCTGCCCCAGCACAGCTCAGCAAACCCCCGCTCCACAGGCCAAGGCTGGGACCCCCCAGCAAGAGCCCAGCAGGCAGAGACGGACAGACAGGCAGACAGACAGCAGAGGGAGCCTCAGGATGAGCAGAGTGCAGAAGCATCCTCAGAAGACCCATTTTGCTGCACCCCATCCCGGTGGCCTATCCCGGCCACGAGCCCAGAGACCCTGGGTCTGAGATGTCCCAAGTGAGAAGCCTTGAGCCCAAAAAGATTAAGTGCAGCTGCAGAAAGGGCTTTAATGCCAACAGTGGATCCCACTGCCACGAGACTGAGCCACGGAGGGAAAGACCCTCCAGGGCACCCCCCCACTCAGCCATGCGCCCCTGCAGCCAGGGAGGAATGGAGCTCACAGCATCCCCATGGCACAGCTCCCAAGGAGCCTTCCTTAGCAATCAAGGGCTTTAATTAACAAATGCGCCTGTTACCAGGATATTTTTACCCATTTTCTCTTTGCCAAATCCAGCCCTGACTTCCTCCAGCCCGCAGGCTGCAAATCACCTCTCGTTTTTGGCCACCACTAAAAATGTCCCTGGTCCCTTTGGAGCAGCTGCACCAAACCACACACAGCATTGCATTGGGGGTACTCCATGAAATGGCCCCCCCGGGACCAGGAGGAAGGATGTCTGGGGTCAGCCCCAGGATGCAAACGCATCGCAACCCCACGACCTTTCCAGAGCCCACTGGCACTTCAGCAGCTTGCCGAAAGCTTGCCGGTTACCACTAGTGATGGCAACATTGCCATAGGGTGCTTGAGAAAGCATTCACCTCCAAAGGGCACAAAACTGCACTTCGGACCACCGCTGATGCCCCATCTGTACATCTCCCCTTCCATGGATGCTGCTGGGGAAGGAAGGAAGGAGACCTTGACACCAGCACAGCCAAAATGCTGGAGGCGGGAGCACTCATGCACCGAGCAGAAAAATTCAGCGACTGCCAGCAGCAGATGGTATCTATAAATCCTATCAATGTTTGGGATTTTAATCCATTCTTCATCTAAAAGCCCAAACAACAGTTAAAAGGCCCTCATCAAGACACATGCCAAGGATATTGCCACATCCCGAGCCGCTGACCTCCCATGCAGAGACAGCCCTCGGGGAGAGACGGTGGGACTCAGCCCATGGACGGGCACTCAGCCAGGGAGATGGGAAGGCAGGGGCTGGGGACAAGGATGCACGGAGGCCAAGCCAGCATGAGTGACGGCACCCATCACAGCCCCAAAAATAATGCAGGTGCCAGTTTGCTGGGACCTGCCTCTGGGCCAGCATTTCCCCCCGCCTCCAGCTACAACACCGCTGAGCCCCCGGGACCACAGCGTTCCTAAACATTTACTCATGGAGAGCCAGAAACATCCTCCCAGCAAATTCCTCGATAAGATAAACCGTGAAAATGTCATGACTGTCTCAGGGAGCCATCAAATAACCCTGGGGGGGAAGAAGGGCAGCCGTGCCCACACCCCTGTCGTTACCTGCATCCTCCTCCTGCTCCCAAACTGAGCAGAGACGGAGGCACCCGCTGCACTGGAGCATCCATCCTACTCATCTAAGGAGTATTTTTGTCAGCCCTCATGGGAAATTATGCAGGCAACAGCAGCGGGCAGGGTGAGCAAACTGC